GGAAAATGAAATTGTAAATCCTGTGGAAGATGAACACATCGAATCACTAGTCACTATTGAAGGAAGAAAAAGGAAAGGAAAAGGAAAGGCAAAAGAATCCCCATCAATAATACTCAAGGAAAATGCATCATTGGATGATGTAAAACTCGGTTCTATTTTTCAAGACAAAAATGCTATGATCAGATGTTTTTGCTTAGCAGCTATTAAGGAGCACTTTGAGTTCTATGTTGAAAGGTCAAGTAATACAAGATACTCTTTGGTATGTACTGATGAAAAGTGTGGTTGGACTGTTCGAGGTTCAAGAATTAAGGAATCAACACTATTTAAAGTAGTTAAATTTCAGATATCACATGAGTGCTCGGTTGACATTAGAAAGTCAAATCAAAGACAAGCAACTTCAAATGTGATTAGAGATTACATGATTGACAACTTAAGGGACATAGCTAATGAAGTAAAGCCTAGGTTTGTCATTTCAGAAATGAAAAGATCACATGGAGTAGATGTTGCTTATGGAAAAGCATGGCATGCTATTCAAAAGGGGTTATCGTTATTAAGAGGAACAACTGAACAGAATTATGAGCACCTGGCATCTTATTTGTATATTATCGAACAAAAAAATTCAGGATCATATACAAATATTCAGAGAGATTCAGATAACAGGTAAATTTCTTATGTTCCATTACAATATAGCGGCCTTCGTATATATGCTCTAATATTTTATTTGGGAAATATGTCTTTTGATTGTTGATTTTGCTAATGTTTTTTGTTTATTGAATTTAGAAATAAATTTTGTTGAGTATATTATACTGAAATATCGTGTGAATCTTGGTCCTGTAGTATGTTATATTGGATGAATATCATAACATCGTAGAATTTTGTTTTACTCCAGTATATGTTACGGGACTAGGCCGTGAATAAGCTTTATCTCCAGTATATTATACTGAATAAATTCTGTTTAAACTAGAACTTTCTTTTATTTGTCCTTACTTTTTTTGAGTGATTATTTGTCTTGTTCTTGTATTATGCTCTTTAATCCAGTGTATAATACTTGAGTTTTGTTTTATTTCAGTATATTTTAATGCAAGTGTGTCGTCTTTAAGCTTGTTTTCCAGTATGTCTTTAATCTAGTATCTGATTTGAGTTATGTTTCATTATAATATACTGGCCTTCGTATATAAATATGATGTAATATTTTATATGGGAAATATGTCTTTTGAGTGTTGTTTTTGCTAATGTTTTTTTTTGTTTATTGAATTTCGAAATAAATTTAGTCCAGTATGTTATACTGGAAGTCTCTCTGGTGTACGTTTATCTTTCAGTATGTTATACTGGATGAATTTTATCATATAGCTTAGTCTTGTTTCATCCCAGTATATTTTACGGGATTTGTGCTGTGTGTAAGATTTGTATCCAGTATACTATACTGAATGAGTTTGGTTTAAACTACAACTTTATTTTATTTGATCTTACTTTTTTCGAGTGATTATTTGTCTTGTTTTTGTATTATTGTTTTTAACCCAGTATATAATACTTGAGTTTTGTTTGATTTCTGTATATTTTAATGCAAATGTTTCGTCTTTAAACATGTTGTCCAGTATGTTATTTGTATTCAGCTTGTCATATGGTATAACTGAATTTTATTTACTTTTCCAGGTTTGTTTATATATTTTTTATATATGGTGCATCAATTTCTAGGTGGAGGTATTGTAGACCACTTATTGCTGTGGATGGAACATTTCTAAAAAATAAATATAGAGGTGTTCTGTTAGTGGCTATTACAAAAGATGCAAATAATCAGATTTTTCCCTATAGCATTTGGGGTAGCGGATTCAGAGAATAACGAATCATATGAATGGTATTTCAGAGAATTAAGAAAAGCAATTGGGATTCGTAAAGATTTAATATTTTTGTCTGATCGACACAAGGCCATTGCAAATAGAATCGCAAAAGTTTTCCCTGAGTGCTACCATGGTATTTTGCATATATGTCACGACCCAAACCCCGGTCGTGATGGCGCCCAACACACTGCTAGGCAAGGCCGACCATTTACACAACCTTAACCAAATAACCTAGATGGATAAATAAATATTCACAAAAAATAACAATTTAAGTGCGGAATCTCTGAAATAATTTCTAACATCCGAAAACCCCCAAAATAAAATACTAAATAGCCCAGATCTGGTGTCACAAGTCTGAGCCTCTAATGCATGAGTATTAACCTACTACATAATGTTTTTCTAGAAATGTGGAAAACAGATAAATAAAATAGAAGGAAGATCAGGACTGCGAACGCCAATTTGCAGCTACCTTGAATCTCCCGAATGTGATGCTAGGCAGAGATAGATCTCACTCAGCCTCAGTGGGTACACCTGAATCTGCACACAAGGTGCAGGGAGTATTGTGAGTACTTCCAACTCAGAAAGTAATAAATATAAATAAAGTCTGAGGATAAGAAATCCTAAATAAACACAAAGCAAAGCTATAAATACAACAACGTGAACCAATAGCATAATACAGTAAACATTAAAAACAATTATAATAAAGTCACACCAGAATAAGAATAAATGACAATTAAATATGCAATGCAACACATAAACCGGTACCTCCAGTACCCCGCTGCGGCCGTGCAGCCCGCTCCATTTATTTAACGTCGACGGCGCTCACTGGGGGTGTGCAGACTCCGGGAGGGGCCCCTTACGGCCCAAGCGCAATAATAAGCCATATCGTGGCATCAAACAGGCCCTCGGCCTCATATCAATATCAATATCATACCACTGCGGCGTGCAGTCCGATCCCATACTCAGTCCAATATCACATAAGCCTTTAGGCACAATAATATGAAAATATTCAGCCCAAACTTCATTTAAAAATATTACTTTAGTTTCTACATTTAGAAAAATGGCTGAGTTTACAAAACAGTATTAAATTCTAGGACTGAGTTCAATGATATGTAGAAATGGTAAGAAACCAGTAAAAATAATCCCTGAAGGATTCAAGTAGTTGGCACGAAGCCCAATTATGACAATTATTCCATTTTCATTTATAAGGATCACAAAACTACAATCAATTAGGTAGTAATTTTATTAAGCGGGACAGACCAAGTCACAATCCCGGACGGTGCTCTACCCCACGCCCGTTATCCGGCGTGCAAGTCACCTCACATAGCACTATATTGTGCAAATTCGGGGTTTCAAACCCTCAACACAACATTTACATTTATTACTAACCTCAAGCCGGCCAAAACCCTAGCTCGCTATGCCTTTGCTTCTCAAATCGACCTCCTCGTGCGTCGAATCTGACCAAAACCACAACGAATACGTCACATTATGCTATAGGAACAATACCCAGGCGAAAACAATCGAAAAATAACTAAAATCTCGAAATTAGCAAAACCCGAGCTCCGGGCCCACTTCTCGAAACTCAGAAATTTATATATCAATACGTTCCTTATGTCCTCACGAGTTCATACATACCAAGAACTCTCAAATCCGAGCTCAAATGACCCATCAAATCCCCAAATCAAATTTCAAAATCCCAAGCCCTAGTTCTTCAATTTTAGGCTTAATTTCCATGAATTTCTAGACCAATTTCACAATATAATCGTGTTTTAAGTTTAAAAATCTTACCTCCAATCGATTCTCCTTGAATCCCTCTTCAATTTCCTTCATAAAGCTCTCAAAAATATCAACAATGGAGTAAATGAGCACCAAAATCGCGACTGGCGTGTTTTAAAACATTCTGCCTAGGTATTTACTCTTCGCGATCGCGGAAAATGCTTCGCGATCACGGAGAACAATTTTTCCAGCCCAAAATTTACTCTTCGCGATCGCGGTCAATGCTTCGCTATCGCGATGAACAGTTCCCAGCTCTTCCTGATAGCCTCCAGTATAACGGTCATAACTTTTTGCACACAAGTCAAAATTACAAATGGTTTGATGTTCTGAAAACTATACACATAGGGCTATAATTTTATATGTTGATCATTTCCTGAATCCTTATACATTGCGAGATATAAGCTTTCAAAGTCATCCCTGTGTATTAGAGACCTTCCCGGGCAGCCTATAGTGTAACTACCATAACTTTTTGTACACAACTTCAAATTCCAATTAATTTACTTTTCTGAAAACTAGACACAAAGGGCTATAATTTTCCTTTTTGGATCATCTCCAAATTTCTTATAGATTGTGAGATATAAGCTTCTGAAGTGGGATCAACGCAACAGAATATTTCTTCTCCGCTATCGCGAAAGGCTTTCCGCGATCGCGATTCATTGGCACGTTTCTCATATTTTACTCACCGCGATCGCGACCTATTCCCCGCGATCGCATAGAACACTGCTGTAGCCAAAAACCAGCAGTTAAAAATGGCCTAAAAATGGTCCGAAACCACCCCGAAACTCACCCGAGGCCCCCCGGGACCTCAACCAAACATGCCAACCAATCCTAAAACATCATTCAAACTTGTTCCAATCTTCGGAACGCTCAAAACAACATCAAAACACAAATTTTTCGTCGGATTCAACCTTAAAATTTTCAAAAACTCTAAAAACACATTTTCGATCAAAAAGTCTACCAAACCTCGTCCAAATGATCTGAAACTTTGCACGCACATCCCAAATGATATAACGGAGCTACTGCAACTCTCGGAATTCCATTCCGACCCCTATATCAAAATCTCGCCTATCAACCGGAATTCGCCAAAATACTAACTTCGCCAATTCAAGCCTAATTCTACACCGGACCTCCCAAAACCACTTCCGATCACACTCCTAAGTCACAAATCATCTCCCGGAGCTAACCGAACCATCAAAATTCACATCCGAGCCCTCTAACTCATAAGTCAATGTCCGGTTGACTTTTCCAACTTAAGGCTTCTTAAAAGAGACTAAGTGTCTCATTTCTTATTAAAAACACTTCAAATCGACTCGATTACACAAGATATGGATAATGAAGCATAAGGAAGCTGAAAATGGGGAAATCGGAGCGGTAACTCATGAGACGATGGGTCGGGTCGTCACAATATATCATTTGGAAAAGAATCTAAAGCAAAGAAGAGTGAGAAACACTGTACTAAACCTCTTTCAAAGTGCTGCAAGAGTATACCTTCAATCAGAATTTGATGACTTCATGTCCCAAATAGCTGCTGTTGATAAGAAAACATTCAATTATTTGATGGAGGAACCACCAGGAAGATGGGTTCGTTCACATTGTCCAAGACGACGATATGATATGTTAACAACAAATATTGTTGAGTCTATGAATAATGTTTTGAGACGTGCAAGAGAATTGCCACTTTTAACAATGATGGACTTCATACAAGAAAAACTGCAAAGCTGGTTTTATGAAAGAAGGAGAACTGCAGAAGGAATATTCCGCGAGTTATCAAATTGGGCAGAAGCAACATTGGAAGATATAATTAAACCAGCTTTTACATTTAGAGTATTGCCCATTGATCGACTCAAATTCAATGTCCAAGAAGGGGGTATGGAATTTATTGTTGATCTAGACAAAAGAACATGTGATTGTTCTGAATTTCAGCTCGATGAGATACCGTGTGAACATGCAATTGATAGTATATATCAGAAAAAATCAGCCTTTTGCTCAGCCTATTATTCAAGGGACTTTTGGTTGAAAACATATGAAGGGCAAGTAAATTCAATAGGTGATTCAACAACATGGGTTATACCAGACAATATTAAATCGGTAATCACTAAGCCTCCAGATGCAAAAGTAATGCTAGGAAGAAGACAGAAGAATCGACATGTTTTCGGTACAGAATTCAAGAAGGAAACAAGATGTGGTCGTTGCAAAAAATATGGGCATAACAGAACAAATTGTACAAATTCTGCTGTAGCTCATCCTTATGCAAGAAAATACAGGAAAAAAATGATTGATTATATACAATATGGTTGCATTGGCTCATGTGATTATATACAATATGGTTGCATTCAGAAAAATTAGTTTGGTATTCTTGTTTTTCAAAATATTATTATTGTTTATTTTTTTTGTTTCTTGATTTACTAATAGGAGAATAGTATGTAGGAAATAAACTTTTAATTTATTTATTTCGAGCAAATTATACTAGATACAAATTTTCCACTGTCTTACCCTTCTCCATTATAATATACTGGTCTATATAGCTTAATTACTAGATTTTCCAGCATAATTTACAGGAAGCAACTAAAATTAGAACACCAACAAAAGTTGCATCAGCAAACTTAGTGTAAAAAATCTGATTGTGCAGATCCAGTATAAATTACTGGACATTATAGTTTCTCATAACATACCTCCAGCATAATATACAGGAAACAAAATTTTAAATTATTTAATTCCAGTAAGTTATTCTAGAAACCAATTTTGCACGATTATACAGTTCTCTCTATTATAATATACTGGGTTATATAGCTTCAAGTACTATATGAGGGATTTTGTGATTTTTTCACATATGTAACTGGTAAAACTTTAGTCATTATTCAATTAATTATTAAATTTCAAGAACAAATTTCCACTATCTTACCCATCTCCATTATAATATACAGGCGTATATAGCTTAATTACTATCTTTTCCAGCATAATTAAGAGGAAGAAACTAAACTAAGAAATCTAACAAAATTTGCATCAGCAAACTTAGGGTAAAAAATCTGGATTGTCCACATCCAGTATTAAAAATTGGACATTATAGTTTCTCAATATATATCTCCAGCAATGTATACAGGAAATAAAATTTTAAATTATTTAATTGCACTTTCACATATCTAACTGGTAAAAGTTTAGCCATTATTCAATTAATTTATGAATTTCAAGAACAAATTTACCACTGTTTTATACACCTTCAATATAATATACTGGCCTATATAACTTAATAGCTAGACGTTCCAACATATTTTACAGGAATTAAGTAAAATAAGAACTCCAACAAGAGTTGCATAAGCAAACTTAGGGTAAAAAATATGGATTGTGCACATCCAGTATTAAATACTGGATATTATGGTTTGTCAATATATGCCTCCATGAAAATATATAAGAAATAAAATGTTTAGTCATTATAATATATTGTTTTATAAAGCTTAAATGCAGGGATTGTTTGATTTTTTCACATATTTAATCATAAAAGTTTAGTCATTATTCACTTTTTTCTTGAATTTGAAAAGGAATTATTAACAAAATGAAGGCAGATAACGACTTAAACAAAACGATATTATATTAAGATAAAATAAAATTACATAGTCTTCTTCCATATACTTACACAAAACATAGGCACAAAAAAGAAAATAAAAAAAAAAAACTAATCACGCGAATCATCAGACTCCATTTCAGTACTGTATGCACCATGACCCCATCTCGTGCAATCCTCTCTATCCTATTGAGCTTGTCCTTCAGTCTTCTCAAGTCCCTTTCATACTTCTCTATGAACTCATCAAACTTGATCTCAAAAGCTTCTGTGATATCTTCCTTCAACTCACTAATAATGGTTTTGATGACTGCGTCCATTTTTGGTTATTACAAATAGATGCGTTTGAGTGAATAAATAGAAAAAGGATGCCTTGGACGGTCCCAGAGGGTCCGTAGAAAAATATGAGACTCGGGCATATGCCCGGAGTCGAATTCCGAGGTCGAGAGCCCGAGAAATAAATTTTTCTGTGAAATTATTTTTCAGAAATTAATATGGAAATTTGAAAAGGAAATTGATTAGAATGTGTTGGTATCGGGCCCGTATTTTGGTTTCGGCGCCCAGTACAGGTCTTATATATGGTTTAAAATGTTTCTGTGTAATTTGGTCAAAATCGGACGTCGTCTGACGTGTTTCGGACCTAAATATCAAAAGTTGGAAATTTAAGAACTTTGAATGAAAAGTGATGATTTTGAGGTTTGATTCCTCGTTTATGATGTTATTTTAGCGATTTGATCGCTCGGTTAAGTCCGTAAGATGTTGTTGAGTTAGTGTATGTGTTTGGTTAGGAGCCCCGAGGGCTCGGGAGTGATTCAGAGGTGGTTCAGGGTGTTTTGAACTTAGGAAAAAGGATCAGATTTTTCTGCAATTTTGCACAGACTTTTTGTTCTTCGCGATCGCGGCCTCAGGTTCGCGTTCACACGCCTTGGTGTCCCCCACCTTCGCGTTCGCGGTCCCCTTCCCGCGTTCGCGTAGTTCCAGCACCCCCCCTTCAATGCGTTCGCGTATTACCCTTCGCGTTCGCATAGGCTAACCCCTGCCCCCCTCCCCCCCCCAGCGTCCTTCTTCGTGTTCGCATCATACCCATCGCGAACGCGATGCTTCCCAGCCTCCCCTCTTCGCGAACGCAACACCCCTGTCGCGAACGCATAGAACAAAAATTCCCTGTTATAATTTTAAAGTTTCAGAAGCAGAACATACGGGATTTAGCCATTTTTCTCACGAACCCTCTTCTCCCCCAAGCTCTAGGACTCCATTGAAGCCCTCATTCTTCAAACCACTTGGGTAAGTAAATTTCCACTCATTTACTTCACTTTTCCTTCATTAATTAGTAAGCTCCTAAGCCTAAATCATGTAATCTAGGGTAAAAATTGGGGGATATGGGTAGAGTTAGGGCTTTTTAATTTTTCTTTGATTTAGACCCCGTTTTGGGGTCGGATTTGAAAACAAATAGTATATTCGGGCTCATGGGGAATAGTATAGTCAGTTATATGCTAAGTTCTCGAAGTGTGAGTTCTGGTTGAGTTCGGTTGCATTTTGGGTCACGTCGTATCAGCAGAGGGTATTCAGGTGGACCCGAAGAAGATTGAGGCAGTCAAGAATTGGCCTCGACCAGCATCAGCTACCGAGATTCGGAGTTTCTTGGGGTTAGCAGGCTATTATCGTCGGTTCGTGGAGGGATTTTCATCTATTGCAGCCCCGATGACCAGATTGACAATGGTCAGATGAGTGTGAGGCGAGCTTTCAGAAGCTCAAGACAGCTCTGACTTCAGCATCGGTATTGGTTTTGCCCACAGGTTCAGGGCCTTATACAGTCTATTGTGATGCTTCCCATATTGGACTTGGTGCAGTATTGATGCAGGATGGCAGAGTCATTGCCTATGCTTCGAGGCAGCTGAAGATCCAAGAGAAGAATTATTCGGTTCATGATCTAGAGTTGGCAGCCATTGTTCATGCTTTGAAGATTTGGAGGCATTATCTATACGGTGTGACGTGTGAGGTGTACACTGATCACAAGAGTCTTCAATATTTGTTCAAGCAAAAGGAGTTGAATTTGAGGCAAAGGAGATGGTTGGAGTTATTGAAAGATTATAATGTTACTATTTTGTATCACTCGGGGAAAGCCAATGTGGTGGCCGATGCATTGAGGAGGAAGTCCGCCAGCATGGGTAGCCTTGCTTATATTCCGGTCAGCCAGAGACCGCTTGCTTTGGATATTCAGGCCTTGGCCAATCGATTTGTGAGATTGGATATTTCTGAGCCTAGCAGAGTGTTAGCTTGCACGGTCGCTCGTTCCTCATTATTGGAGCGTATCCGTGATCGGCAGTTTGATGATCCCCATTTGTGTGTCCTGAGAGACACGGTGCAGCGTGGAGGTGCCACGAAGGTGACCTTAGATGATGATGGTGTTTTGAGATTGCAGGGGCGAGTTTGTGTGCCCAATGTCGATGGGATTCGAGAGTTGATCTTAGCGGAGGCCCATAGTTCTCGGTATTCTATTCACCCGGGCGCCGCGAAGATGTATCAGGATCTGAGGCAGCATTATTGGTGGCGTAGGATGAAGAAGGATATTGTTGCATATGTGGCTCGATGTTGGAACTGTCAGCAGGTTAAGTATGAGCATCAGAGGCCTGGTGGATTGTTTCAGAGGATTGAGCTTCCCGAGTGGAAGTGGGATAGGGTTACTATGGATTTTGTTACTGGACTTCCGATGACTCGGAAGAAGTTTGATGCTATTTGGGTCATTGTTGATAGGCTGACCAAGTCAGCGCATTTTGTTCCTGTTGCAGCCACGTATTCATCCGAGAGGTTAGCTGAGATCTACATCAGAGAGATTGTTCGCCTTCATGGGGTGCCGGTATCTATCATTTCACACCGGGGTACGCAGTTTACCTCGCGCTTCTGGAGAGCAGTTCAGCGAGAGTTGGGCACCCAGGTTGAGTTGAGCACAACATTCCATCCTCGGACGGACGGACAGTCCGAGCGGACTATCCAGATTTTGGAGGATATGCTCCGGGCTTGTGTTATTGACTTTGGAGGTTCGTGGGACCAGTCCAGCATTCAGATGGCCCCTTACGAGGCGTTGTATGGTAAGCGGTGTCGATCTCCGGTTGTGTGGTTTGAGCCGGGGGAGGCTCGATTATTGGGTACAGATTTAGTTCAAGAGGCCTTGGATAAGGTCAAGATCATTCAGGACAGGCTTCGTTCGGCTCATTCGCGGCAAAAGAGTTATGCAGATCGTAAGGCTCGAGATGTAGCTTTCATGGTTGGTGAGCGAGTATTGCTCCGAGTGTCGCCTATGAAGGGCGTGATGAGATTTGGGAAGAAGGGCAAGCTTAGCCCCAGGTTCATTGGTCCATTTGAGATTCTCGATCGTGTGGGAGAGGTGGCTTATAGGCTTGCCTTGCCGCCTAGCTTGTCAGTCGTGCATCCAGTTTTTCATGTGTCCATGCTTCGGAGGTATCACGACGATCCAGCCCACGTGTTAGATTTCAGCACTGTCTAGTTGGACAATGATATGTCTTATGAGGAGGAGCCGGTGGCTATTCTAGACCGGCAGGTTCGACAGTTGAGATCGAAGAGTTTTCCTTCAGTACGAGTCCAGTGGAGAGGTCAGCCCCCTGAGGCATCGACCTGGGATTCCGAGTCCGATATGCGGAGCCGTTATCCCCATCTATTTCCCGACTCAGGTACTTCTTTCTTTTGTCCGTTCGAGGATGAAATGTTGTTTTAGAGGTGGAGAATGTGATGACCCAAAGGGTCATCACCTGTTCTCTCACTCATTTTGTAT